GAAATAAATAGAGAACCGTGTTGGTATTTTATAATAAACTAGCGGTTAGTAAGAGTGAATATAGAACAATCTTTAGTTGAAACTAGAAATTTTACCGCGCTACGCGCGGTTTATTTTTCTATAAAGTTTATATCTCAAACTTCAGAGTTTAAGATAGATTGAGTTTATTTTGGTGCTTATGTTATATCATTTATATATTTATTTATTTTTCTGATAAATTAGAATGTGATGTTTTTGAAAAATTATAAAGTTTTTGTTAGGAATGCCAGTGAGTTAATAATTTATTCTCATTTTTCAATATGTTTAAAGTCATCCTATAATTTAAAATTATAAAATAATTAAATTCTTATTATAAAATATTATAATTTTATAAAATAATTACGTCAAACAAATTTTGTTTACTTATTGTTCAATCAAGGACCGAAAATAATTTTATAAAATAATTACGTCAGTTCCAAACATATTTTTTAAGTGTTCTCTACTCAAGAATATGTTTTATGTTTAATTTATCAATATATACTTTGTAAATTATAATTGTCTGTGAATTATATAATAAAGTGGCAGAAAATGACATTATAGAATTGTTTTAATAGTATTACTCTGTGTTTTTTTTTGTTCTTTATATCTAGACTTTTTCGGCATAATTTTTATGGTCTTTATAAGGATGAAAGACCAATTCACATGATTAATATAAAATTCAATGGTCTATGAATAATGGGGTTATGGGTCTTTCTTTATTATATTTCCTAAGAATGGTGTAGACTATTTTATTCCTGATAACAAATTTCTGTAACATACAAATTATATACCTAAATTTTTAAAACTTATAAAAATATATGTAATACCTGCTTTGTACATTATAGTTAATTTAATTCTAAATTTGAATAGTCTTTTGGTTTGATCTTCGAGCAGGTTAAATTGATCCATAATTGATATTTTTATTTTTTTTCATTTGTTTCTTGAAAGAGATTAACTATCATTCGTAATTTTCTAGTGACTTTTATATACATATTTTCACATTAGTTGATGTGATTGTAAGCAATTTAATAATAATTATAGTTTTAGCTTATTATTTTGATTACAATAGTTTAGTATGTTTTAAGTTTTATTTATATTTATATTTTGATATCTTATAAGAAATTGTAACACATTTAGTTTCTCATTTAAACTAACACATTTAAGTTTCGCCAATTATTTATTTTAAGCTAATTTTAATTTAGTGGCTAGATAATTCAAAATAAGTCTCATATGCAAATAAGGAAAACACAGAACAATGTACAAAGAACCTTAGAGAATAATGTAAGAATATTTATGAGGAATATTTTTTTTATCTTTAATTAGTGTGAGCAAAAAGAAAAACCACTTGCCTAGATAATTTAAAAGCTTAAATTCCAGAAAGTTACAAAAAGATAAAACTATGTGCATATATTACGAAAAAGATAAAAATATGTGCCTACATTACGAAAATTATTCAATTATATAAAATTAACCATGTGAACAAAATAAAACATTACTTGCCTGAATAATTTAAAGCCAAATTCCAAAAAACAAATTACGAAAAGAGAACACTATATGTATATAAATATTATTATTTAAAAATTATATTGTAAAGTTTTATAAATGATTTTTTATTTTTACTTTTATGATTTATATTTATATTTAAAAGTATAGTTTTGTTATTTATCTTCTTCAGAAAATAATTAACCAGCGGAAAACTATATTAACTTATACTAAAGAATGTCACAATATGAAAGAAAATAAATATTAAGAAGTATATAATCAAATATATTTTTATTGTATCATATTCACATGGTTAATATTATATAATTGAATAATTTTCTGAAGAACTAATATGTCTAGAATTGGCTTACCTTTCGGATGAGATGTACTTTACTTGTAGTGTAGTTATTATTTGTTTGTGTGATTTTTTGGTTTTTGTTTTAATTTTGCATTGACAATAATTTTTGTCCTTTTGAAAGTTTGGGATGAGAAATGATTAAATGTGATAAAAATATATTTTCTTTGTAGAAATTCTCTTATTTAACAATATAAATAACTGGTAATACAGTGTCTCAAAAATAGAAAGGCAGCTAATGTGGATCTTTATAAAGAAACGTGAACATGTTCTCAATTCATAGGCGAGAAAGAGAACATCCAAAACAGTTGTAGTCTTTAAAAAAATCTATACTTGTACCTAAGCTTTTAAGTTTGGTAAATTATGCTGTCGAACCAGTTTTTGTGTTTTTTCAGTTTTTGAAATTCTTTTGGCTGTAAAGTGAAGTGTGAACACTAAAAAGTGTTTCCAGGTAGAGGACCATCAACACACTATCACGATTCTCCCTCTCTTCTCCTGCACACATTCTTATTTTTCTTTTCTTTTTTTTTCCTTTTCTTCTTCTTCACCTGCAACACATTCTTCGTCCTCCTTTGCACCTCACTTACAAACCATCTGTTATATCAAATTTTCAATACAACCATGAAAAAGGTATTTTCTTTATAATGTGTTTATAAAGAGACTACCATATTGTAGCAGAAGGAAAAAGGTATTTTCTTTATCATGTGTTTATTAAGAGACTGTATTAACCATATTGTAGCAGAAGGAATGTTCTGCTCAAGATGAATGTAACAGTTACCAAAATCCACCCAAAAACCACATGCCTGCAGAAGATAAAAAAAAAAACAGATAGTTCTTACTTATGAAAGCACACAACGATTCCAAAGTTTTTACTCATGTGTAAACAATGATATGCATCCCGTAAACTGAAGAAACTGGAAGAGAATTTGATTAGAAAAGATCATTACAGTTAATACAATAGTTGACATTTGAGAAACATGTGATGGAAGATCATAAGCTTGCAGGATTTATCGTCTTTCAAAGCTAAAAAAGATTACAAAGGATGCAGATTTATGACTTATCACGACCAAAAAATGTCAAGGTAAGCATAATGATTTAAACTATAATTGGCTCCACCCTCCTGCAGTAAAGAAGATGACATGGTACACTCGTTTTCAAGATATTGACATAATGCTTCTGTAAGAGATAAAATGATGTGTTGAAGAGCAAACACAACAAAAACATGAAAAACAGACAACAACAACATCAAACCTCTTCAAGAGGTTTCTCTCACTTCCCCTAACTCTCGATCTTTATCAGCATCCCAATAGAAAAATAATTAATAAATCAAGCAACCATCTGAAAAGGCAAAAAAAAAAACTTATTCAACATAACATACATTTTCCCCATAACTAATCCAAATCAAACTCACCTGATCAACGGATCCAACGTGGCATTTCTTAAGAACCTCCTCAAAACTTCAGCTACTTTATCACTCACTCTGTAAGGAACAACAACATCATCTCCCTGACTTCTGCAAGCTACGGCTGCGTCTAGCAGAAGAAGCAAAGGCAACAAAGTGTAGCTGAAACGCACATTAAAAAAAAAACTTTATCAACATCGAAAACCAAAGGTGGAGACTTTTGAGGATACTTTACTGGAAGAAAGACTGTAGAAAGAGGAGTACGGCGGAGGAGGCTGAGCAACTTCGGGATCACGGATGGATCCTTCTGAGGGGTTTGCGATAGGCTTATCTGCTTCAAGGCTTATCTGATGTGCCACAACAAAGCGGCTCTGACTCAAGTGCTCTCTCCAATGGTGAAAAACCTGCTGCAGAGAGTCACTCAGAGACTGAAGGAACAGAGAACTTCTAACAGATTTTTAGGTCTTTAAACGAATAAAACTACTTTAACTCAAAAGCACACTTACCCTTCTACCGGAAATTCATTGTAAGTTGAAGTGAAGCTAGCAACAATTACAACATCATTATCTTACATTTTGTTATCTTTGTAACTATCTTATATTGGTTAGCTAGAATCTATAACACTGATTGTGTAAGAAGAGGAGGGGATAGTTGCAAAGGTTACGTTTTGGCGTCAAACCATTACTGATTTGAAGGAGACTCATCTGTGGTATGTGGAAGCTTTATTTCAAATAGATGAAGCTATGATTCCAGTGGTACATTGACAGATAAATCACATGTGGGAATTTGATGAGTCAAAAATCAACATGAGTCTCCGTTCCAAAAGTCTAACGTAGATGACACAGAGATTAATTTAGAATCTGATGGAAACTAAATATACTTGTCGATTTAGGATGAGATCAGAAGAAAAAAAACTGGCGTTGGCTGAGAAGATTAGTTTTCCCTCTTTGGTTGATCCGCTTCGGCGAAGGAGCCACTGACTTCGCATGTACGTTTCAGAGAAATCGAATTGAGATAGAAGAAGAAAAAATCGAATCGCCAAAGAAAAAGAAGAAATAAGAAACGAAGATATAGTTTACGAAAATGACGGCATTTTAGAGTGAGGCTCTAATAAGTACAATCGAAACATAAGGTAAAATGGGAGATCTATAAATACAAAGTTGGAGAGGAAGGTGAAGGGTGGAATCCATTGAATTTGAGGAAGTGAAGGATTGATTAGATTGAAACAGAAAATTGATTAGAACAGAGAGGGTGTAAGATTAATGGGAGAAACCGAAGAGAGGTACTTGCAGAGGAGGGAGTCGAAAGGTGAGAGAGGAGCTGGAGTGTTTGGAAATCGGATTATGTTTGCCGACTGAAGACCAAACCGGTGTTAACCGTGACATTAGAATCTCGTTCAGAACCG